GATATATCGACGAGAGTTAGTTTTTTTTCCCCCCCATTTTGTTTTTACTTAAATAAAATTAAGCTAGCCATTACAATATCGGGATAGCTTGCTATATTTTTTTTCTTTTACTTCATTTCTCTTCGCAAGCTATCCCGGTGAGTTAGTAAGCGCACACACTGTCTTTTATGATAGGTCCGTTGTTACGTTATCTCCCTCCTACCTCTATCTATCTAAAAATCTCTGTCCACTGATCTCTGTTTTGCCTCTTGCTTACGAGAATCCGGAGAGCTAACGAGAATTGTCTTTTCGTACTTTTTCATTCCGTTTCATTCTCTCCTTCGATCGATTATTTTAATAGCTCGCGATTATTACAAAGCTTTCGTATAAAAGATGGTTTTTGTTCCCTTCTTGTGATGTCAGCGTCTACTAGCGCAAACTGAGATGTCCCCTGGAGATGTTTCCTATCTTCTAGCAGAAGAAAACCACATTCTTCGTAACTTTCAGGAAAACTTTTCCAAAGGAACGTGGTTATAAAAATAAAAGAATCTGTGTAGGTCACACACATCTCAGACCTTCTGAATTCTTCAAAAAATCCGCTTTAAAATACTCATCGTTCAATGAGTCAAAGACAGACCCTTAAATGATATAGAAATTGAATTTCAAAAATCATTTACTACCTTAAGAATTCTTATCACACATTCTACTGAAAGAATAAAAGAGAGTATAAACAGTGGTGTATGAAATGACACACAATTAAACAAACTTCATCTTTAGCCCAGAACATAATCCTTCCAAATAACCAGAAGATCCGAAAGATCCTTACCATTCTCATCACCTCTCTCAGATATCCCGAGCACGTGATAAAAGCTTATGTATAGCCCCGCTAGAGGAGACGAACGTGACTCGTAGCAAAATAATGTACGACGTTAATCTCGTTATTTCACTCGCTCGATTGTACTTGTTGCAAGTCCTGCCACTTGGACGCGGTCTTAATTCGACGCGCGGGAACAAGGTACACGTACACGTACACGTACACGATATGACTTGAAAGAAGCTCTCCCCTTTCTCTCTAACTCTCTTTCACACACGCATACATGTTATATCTTTCACTCTGGTCTCTGACATATACTCGCTCTCGCTCGCCGGACACGCGCTCGCGGTCTTTGGCATGATCGTTGGCTACATCCTCCTGGCAAGATCACGCTTATTGTTGGAGACCTCTGCCGCTGGACCTACGCCATTATTTAGTTTCGCCGTATATGTAATCAGCCACAAAAATAGACACATCTCTATTGCAGTTTCCTACGTCAGCCCCTTGTCTGCGCGGCCCTCGAGGTTGAACGTTGATCGATGACGTTCCTCAAATACATTCTTAACCCTTTCGCAGCGTAACAGAATATTAACTTTACACCTTTTTTTCTTTTTTTTTTTTGTGGGAAATAAACGTTAATGACGATGGAAATGCTAAATATCAATTGATGACAATTTCTCGTTTTGCACAAAAGAGTAACTTTTCGATTAGATCGCGTTTAAATTTAGAACGCGTTCGAATCCATTAAGCTATACTGTTAAAGGGTTAAAAACCTTTCAGTCGCGATCTTATTATTATTATTTTTTTTTTTTCATTTTATTTTTCTTTGCATCATTGCAGCGTTTGTGAAAGGGCAAAGGTGGATGGCTGTAGAGATTTCTGGAGATAGTTGTTTAAACCACGACGTTGTCGAAAGTAAGGTAGAATGGAAGTTATTCGATGATCTCTACGGGTCTCTAGACTAGAGAGTGATGTTGTAGTTTTTCTACGTTTGGATAATCTGATTGAGAAATACACAGAGGATCACTTGACATGGCTATAGAAGAAAGGTGACTGAAGGCGATTCTAATTAAGGGAATGGAGAGTAGTTCGCTTTGCGTTAAGAGTATAGCGATACTACTCTTTAATACAGTTTGCATAATATACATTTCTGTTGTAACCTTCGATTGATAGAATGGAAGCACCTTAGTTTTGTAAAACTAATAATATACTCCTGTACAATGTTAGTTTTATATCAAGAAAGGAAGAAAGAAAGAAAAAAAAAAGAAGAAATGAAATGAAGCGATAACTATTTTCGTTAAACGCTTATAAAGAAGCTCGCATATTCTATCAATTGAAAATTAAATAAAACAAACGAAGAGCAAATCCTCTTTGCTGGTTCGAGAGAAAATTTCGTGAAAAGTACTTGGTTTTTCGAGCGCGCTTTTCTCCAAAATCGAACATAAAAAGATTCCCAATCGCAGGGGGGCTCTGTCATAGGAAAGACTGTCGGTTTTCCACGCCCCTATCTGCATCATAAATCAAGAACACGAACGATAACGATCCATTCGGGCTTCCGCGGTTGACAGTTGCATCAATCTTCTCTCGTG